CCCCCCCCCCCCAGTGTTCCTGGTCTCAGTGAATGGTGCTTCCACCTCTCAATAAGCCAGACCTCAGAAGTCATCCCCACAGGCTCCTTCCCTGCCCTCCCGCCTCCAATTCCTCACTGAGACTCTTCACCTTGTTCCATCTCCACACTCACAATCTTTATGCAAGCTACCGACACTTCTCTCCCAGGCTAGTGTAAGAGTCTCATAACTGGCTCCCCCATATCCACCTCTGGGCCCTTCCATATGCCTTCTACACAGTAGCCAGTGTGGTCCTTTAAAGCACACCTCCTATACGTCACTCCTGTGCTTGATCTGTGGTTCCCTTCCCTCTGCTCTTAGGATAAAGGTCAGAATTGCGAACATCTGTAAGCAGGTGGATATTCTGCCAGGACACGCCGACACGGCTGTACAGGTTGTTAAATGCTGAAATACCTCCATTCCTCTTGGTCAATAGCCATTGCCTCAAGCTCTTAAGTTGCCCTCACTGCTGCTGCTCTGTCCCCTCCGGTAGCTCTTTCCTCTCAGTCAGCAACTACAGGATTAACACACTGCACACAAACAAGCACACACACACTGCTCGGGCACTGGGGCACGCTGTCCCCGTTGTAGACTATTGTGATGAGTGCCCCTGCCTGGAATATAAGGGCCAGCACAATCCCCACCGCACTCTCCAGCCTTGCTGGTCCTTCTTGCTCTTTGCACTGCCGCCACTTTGGCCTTCCTGAAACTCTCCCAGTTTTTCCTGCCTCAGGGACGTTGGACAGGCTATTCTCTATGATTGGAATGTTCTTCCCTTTCTTCACCTCACTCACCCCTACTCATCCCTTAGCTCAACTATCTCTTCCACACAACAGCCTTCTCTGACCTCCAACTCTAGGTCAAGCCTCTCTCATATAGTCCCATAAAATCCTATGCCTTTCCTTCACGGTGCCTAATATAGTTTGGTTTGCATATCTATTCATGTGGCTATTTGATTGATAGTTCTCATTGCCAATGGACTACAGTTCAGAGAAGATGAAGATAGGATTTTTTTTTAACTATGAAATCCCTAAAGCTCAGCACTCCACATCAGGTGGAAATGTACAGGAAGACACTGGCTGAAGACAATGGATCTAAAGCGTGAGCAATGCTTGAATAAATGAAAGAACCCAGCATTCATGTAAAGATCTTGGTGCGTGCATGTGCGCATGTGTGTCCTTATGTGTGAACTTGTTCTTTTTTCTAAGTATAATGATGATGATGATCATAAAAATGAGTAGGCACAATCTATGCAATAAGGAAACTGCCCTGAATATTCAGATGTCTCTTATATAAGCCGAGTTCCTCTTTTCACACACTTAGAGTAATTACTTCCTATTATGGCAAGCAGCATACATTCTTTCCACAAAACATACTATTTGAAAGTGTGTTACTTATATAAGGATCAGCATTTGCTGTATTGCTGCTGTCACAGTCCACCAGCTCAAAAGATTCAAGCAAAACACATTCTCGAGCCATGGCCCCAGGACAAGAGCCTGTTTTTATCTTCCCAAAACAATGAGTGGATGTTTTTAAAGAGTGGATGTTTTTAAAGAGTAGAAGGCGCTGGAGCCATTAGGAGGCGAGCCCTGTGAACATTACCCAGCAGCAGCACTGTCCCGATGGGTGCACTAATGTGTTTAATGAGGGCGTAAGTTCAGCTGCTATAGTCCTTCCCCCATATTACCCATACTCTCCACTCAAGAGCAAAAGCCATAATGCCCTGTGAAACCAGAATGAGGCTCGGGCAATGCTGGCAGTCCCCGGGGGCAGCCCATCTGCAGCTCCCTGCCCCTGCACAGTCATGGAACTGGACAAAGACCAACAGGGCCAGGATCTGGGGAGCCGGGACTAAGCCAGCAGCCAGGGGCTCTGCACTAGGGCGAAACCTTCCTTTTACTCCCTCTGACCTTCACTGCCTTGCTCTCAGCCTTCTGCTCTTTGAGAGAAAAGGCTGGTCTGAGCCAGGACTGCAGTCTCCAGTCTGAGGCCAGAGCCTCCCCTCAGTCTCTAGCAGGGCCAAGCGTGACCTGTCACTGGCACCGAGCCGATCGATCGATAGGAAGTGGTGTCAATAAAGTGCAAATAATGCCTGGTTGCCCTGAAGTGCTCTGAGGAGAGACGGCAGGCAGAGGGACAAGCCAGCTACGCTCAGGGCTCACCCACGGAAGGCCAATCAGGACAAAGCCGTTGCTCGGGTGTCATCAAAATCTTCCAATTTCACACCGAAAATGAGCCCTGGCTCAAGGCTTATGAGCGTTCGGTTGTCCCCATTTCTGCTAAATGGATTCCTTTGAGAGCTGGCATCTTAACCCTTGGAAGGCCTCTGAGGCTTGGAGCTCCCTCAGCCGGAAACTGCACTGCAGAGGAGCATGCACTGGGTCTCTGCAGCTCTGAGCTAAACAGAGGCAGCCTCAGGCCTGGCCTCTGGCACCAGAAATGCAAGCCCCTGGGGAGAGAGATCAATTCCCTCCCCTGGTGGGGGCGGGGTTGGGGTGGGGGCAACAGGACCTCCAGCTGCTTCTGGGGTACTGTCCAAGGGGTCCCTGGGCTGCCTCCCTGAGTCACTCCAGGACTCTCACTCTGCCCCATACTTGACTCTTACCACCTCTTCCCACGAAAGAAATGGCTTCCGAGTTTCAGTTTGCTCTCCAAAGGCCAACCTTCAGCTCTGCATGGTTGGTGAGGAATGTCCTTCAGTCCAGTGTTGTATATTTGGACAGAGGGACAAAAGAAGAGGAGGAGGGCTTTCCCCTCCTCATCCAGTTTTCGACCTGAAGTGCAGTCCACACGCTTCACCTCCCCTCTGAAGTTCACTGCCATGGGCCTCTGCCTCCTGTCACACACCTACTTCTGTTTCCCATCACACTCCACCCGCTCCATCCCCTCTGATCTTTTAGCTGTGAATTTCCACAGGAGACCAACTGAACCCAAATGGGGTCTTGGCCCAGGAAGAGAAAGCAAGTGGTATTTTGCATTTTAAGCAAGAGGGA